AATGAGAATCTCTAGCATCTTTTTGATATCAATTTCAAAGTAATTCTGTGTTGAATCAAAATGATTTCAGAAAGTTATTTTTAAGATGACCAAGAAATGAATACTTCAATTATCGGGGAAGTAGTTGATGTCAAAAAGTCTATTGAATTTTTTTTATTGCGATCGCAAACATTAAATGGGATGGGAGCTTACATTAAGATCATATCCTTTTCGATAGAATGGATTAAATGTATCAGATATATGTTAAAATCTCGCATTAAACGATTGAGGGTCAGTATGAAAACCACCTATCCTGTATTCAGTAATTCAGAAGTGAAAAAAGAATTAGATTTACACGATTAATACGTACTGGTCCCTGCTGACAAAGCAGGTAACAGCATTGTCTTTGTTTGTAAGGCTCATTATATAAATTGTATTTTAGAGGAACCGGGATTTAATTCTACAAGTGGTAATCCATCTTATACCTATAGCTCCCTTTCTGAAATTCTTCAAAATCATATGTTAGTTTTAAATATTTTTAATATTCCCAACAACCAAAATGAATTTGAATTACCTTATCTATATTGGATTCCGAAACTTCATAAAAATGCTTACAAACAAAGATACATAGCGGGTTCCAGTAAATGTTCTACCAAGCATCTTTCTTTACTCCTCACTAAGATATTAACAATAGTGAAGGAGAAACTTCAAGAGTACTGTGCAACAATATATTCGAGAAGTGGTGTAAATCAGATGTGGATACTAAAAAATTCCAAGGAACTTTTGGAACATTTGAAATCACAAAACTTTACCAAAATCAACAACATAAAAACTTACGACTTTTCTACTTTACATACAGTCGCCCGCGTGGTGCAGTGGTTAGAGCGTCTGCTCTAGAGTCGCAGAGTAAGGAGTTGATCCTTACGTCGCGGGTTCGAACCCCACTGTGGGACGTGGAGACCGGTCCTTCGGATGAGACCGTATAAACCGAGGTTCCGTGTCGCAGAAGGTGCTGGCACGAAAAAGATCCCTCACTGCTCAATGGCCGTAAGTGCCGAGTATAGGACAAAATTCGCAGCTCTCCACCGGCAAGTGGTGGCGTCTCCTTATGAGTGAAAAATTCTCGAGAGGGACGTTAAACAATATATAAACAAACAAAAAACTTTACATACAACTATTCCCCACGATAAATTAAAGTCCAGACTTTCTGACAACGTTGACAGCTGCTTTTTCAATAAAAATGGAACTCGCAAATTTACTTATCTTGTTATTGGTCATTTGCAAAATTACTTTGTTAAAAACAATCTGATTGTACACACAAGTACTCTGAAGTTGACATTAAAAAGATGCTCGAGTTTCTGATTGACATTATCTATGTGGTTTTTGGAGACCCTTTCTTCCAACAATCTATTGGAATTCCCATGGATATCAACTGCGCTCCGTTATTAGCAGACCTATTTTTGTATTCATATGAAGCAGAATTTGTTCAAAATCGTTTACGTGAAAAGAAGAAAACACTTGCTGTGGCTGTCAACTCGACATTTAGATATGTCGACGACGTATTGTCAATTAACAATGGTTATTTCCATTCTTATATCGACACGATATATCCCTGTGAGCTTGAGATAAAAGATACCACAGAGTCTGACACATCTGTTTCGTATTTGGATATTTTATTAGAAAAAGACGTTAATGGTAATCTAACAACAATGCTTTATGATAAACATGATGACTTTAACTTTTAAATCGTCAACTTCCCTTACTTATGCAGCAATATACCCTTATCACCTGCATACGGGGTTTATATCTCTCAGTTGATTCAATACGCCAGAGCATGCTCTACGTATGAACAATTTCTAAAACGAGGTAAATTACTGACAAACAAGTTGATGAAACAAGAATATCAGCAGTCTCGTTTAAAGTCATCATTTCGTAAGTTTTATGGTCGATACAATGACCTTGTCAGCAAATACAATATTTCATTAAGTCAAATGCTGACTGACTTTTTTCATACTGATTGTTAGGCCATTTTTACACTCTGAATTGTCGACGGATTTTTCCGTTATTTCCCGATCATGACAAGGAGCACACGGCGGGTGTGACCGGTCGGCAGTGGATGCTCACTCCTCCATGGCACCTGATCCCATCTCTGATGTTTTGGAGGTCCGTGTTTGCTTTGCTCCTGTTTTGTAATGTTTAATGGACTTTTGAGCTTGAATACTTTTCGTTATCTCCACATATATCATTTAACCTCGAAAAGAAATTACAAATAGTGTATATTTATTGTGTTGGTTGTATTAACTGTTGAAAAGTCATACGATACTAGTATAATGTCTTTGTATGATACTAGTATAATGTCTTTGCTTTTGAGAAAACGTTATTCCAATTTTTTTTAAAATCAAATCATTAAATGTACATTATCTGTAATTTTTTTTCCTAGGTTAAATGACCGAAAAGGATATGATTTTAATACAAGGCCCCATCCCATTAAATGTTTGTGTTCCCCAAAATATTCTCCCTACATGTTTGAATAAGTATCTGACTGGCGAATTGTACAGATCCAGGACCAATGATTAATATGCAGGCTGAAGACGCAACTCCGTGTATTTTACAACAACAATATGAAATGTTCTCGAAATTCCAATTCATAAGATTTCGATAAACCATGTGTAAACAATGAAATACTTTTAAATATTGTAAATGTGTGCTTAAGGAAGCTCTAAACACTGCACATTAAAGAGTTCTATTTGTATGGTAGTTTTATTAAGTTAGAGTGATCTGCCCTTCGAAGAAAAATAGAATAAATGGGAATCTACAGTTAATGACACAATTTCTTATGAATTAAAGTATTCTTAATGTTATGTTAGACCAAGATTAAGTAATTGAATACATTATTTCCATTCATTTTCCCGATGCAAGTAAACAACAGTGATTTCTGTTCACAAATAGTTCATTGTCTTTGAAAAATTTTTCTGCACAAATAAGGCAGGTACCCTATGTTGAAAATGAACTAGATACACTGAATATGATATATTTCTCTCAAAGTCCAACAAGCATTTTTCATTAGTGTTTAGAGCTTCCTTAAGGATACACAACAAAGAGAACCGAAATTTATTTTTAATAATTACTAATTTACATGTTTATTGATAATCGAAAATATCGCTTAAAAACTATATACTGCAATTGGTATTCAGAAAAACAGACTCCTTACGCAAATGCGTATTATATTAGTTAATATAAAGTTTGTTTCCTCCTTTCAACACTAGAAAACTTTTTTATAGTACATGCCTGTAGCAACGATATAAAAAATGGTCAATGGGGAAGGGACAACCTCAACCAAATAGAAAAAAAAAACGTTAACTGCTCGAACTCAAAAATTATTCCTGGGGGTGGGGAGGGAGGGAGTTCGACCTTTCTCTAAACTTTTTGGTACATTTTATTTCAAGTACTGGAATTCGAATTAATCAAGAAACTTTAATGATTGTTTGTACTTTAGGTTATTAATTACCAGGCGCGGATCCAGGAACTGAAGTTAGTGGGAGCGCAAAAAGTAGGCAGGGGGTCTGGGCGAAGCCCTGGTGGGGGCCTGGGGGGGGGGGGGGCGAAGCCCCCGGAAGCTTCTGGATTCTAGAGATTTTGAAGGGTAAAAATGAGATCTACCGAGTAGACATTTTTACATTTTCTTGACGAAACTAAGATTTACTCTAACTTTGACAATTTTAGGGGGGCGCCCCCCTTAAATCTGCCACTGATTACCATGCATAATTTCTAATATTGTATGACATACACCCCTCTAAATATTCCCAAAAGCTTTCATATTGATTATCATAGTCCTGACCGCTATTCAGTGCGTTCAAAATTCAATCATATTTTTTATTTACCAAATCATCAAACGATTCTATTTCAGAAATGCTGTCCAATATTCAGGAATGCGTTAATGGGATAATTTACCACTAACTGATAATTTTCGCTGTCTTTATTCTTTACATAATTTCCAATAGACATGAGGAAATGATAATCAGTAATCCCTACCCGTCGATAATGATTGTCAAGGCCGTTACACCCATTGAGGCAAGTGAGGCAAATGCCTCATTGATTTTTTTTTTTTTTTTTTTTAATTTTTTTTAAAAATATTAAAAGATCTACTTTGAATTTAAAGTATCGGTGTTGTATTTGAATAATATACTTTCAACATTAAGTCCTATTTAAATTTCCGAAAATCGACCATCTAACGATTAAGGTGCATGGTCATTTCGTCATTTCACTCATCTGTATTATATAACATTATTATGAACAATAGATCTTTGATTTAAGATGTTTTTGCAGATAGGATTATTAGGTTACTCTATTCCAGATTAAGGTTTGGTTATGCAATATCTTTTCTGGACATTAAAAAGTCTTTGAAATTGAACTCCTCTTTTCTTGGAACTTCCCTTCTATTTTTTTAAACTGTCATAGAAATGTTATTGTTGTAACAAACAGGCACGAACTATCCTGGAGTTCAAATAAGAGACAGGGGAAATTTGAGAATAAAAAGAGCCAGAAAAATAGTTTATGCAAAAACCGAAAACAAAAAAGTACCTGTGACATGCCTCTTGTTCCGTTTACGAAAAAAAAGATAACAATTCCAAAATTGAAAGTATAAAAACTTTTTAAAAACGCTGTGAAGCAAAAAAAAAAAAAAAAAATTATAAAGTATAAGCCCAAACTCCTAAAACTTATTTCGAGGATGGGACTTTAATAGGGAGTTTTCAAAGTCGAAAGCATTATTACGTGGAGGGGAGTCAAACTGCCAAAAAAAAGAATGAAGGGGGGGAGGCTTTGAATTGCCCCCCTCCCTTTCCACGATATTGTATCTTTTGATTTTATTTATTCATTATATGTTATTTTGGCTTAGATAGGAAATAGATAGGAAATACATTTATCAAAAGTGTCTGAAAATTAAGCGATTGAATCAGGAAGGATGTTGTTTTTCAATTTCCGGAAATTCGCCATATACCGTCCTTGGTACTAAAACTACTTATTTTTCTACACCGGATGTTGACATTCCGCCCAGAACAAAATTGTCGGAAAAATCGATCAGCACACAAAAAGTCAGTTTCTGACATACGATGAATTAATTAATGCGATCAGAAGTCACTCTCTTTATCAACAAGTTGGAGACCATGGTTTAATCGTCTGCCCAAGAGAAATTTGGCAATCATAATGGCAGAGCAAGGTTAGTTAAGAAAGTCTAAATAGGAAGTACACTCTTGACTGATGACTTAATCTGTTAATTGTCCAGTCGAGGATTCAGGGGAACCATACATGGAATGTATAAAATTAACAGGCCCACTGTGCTAATATCTACAACATTTATGCATATCTTCTTCCATGAGGTTATTTTCACCTCCCAGCATAATGCAAAGTGTATCGACACTGATCGAGTCACTTGCAAGTTTGGAAGGGCAATTTAATCTGTCTAAATATTAATACACAATAAAGGAACAAAAATGAAAAACATCAACTTGAATGATATTTCGAGGATATAATTACTTAAAGACCTCAGAAATCTTTAAGAATAACCCATCTCTTTTTAAAAAATGTCAATTAACATAGCCAAAAAGAAAATGCTCTAACCATGTTAACACACCAAATGGCTTGATTATGACAGTTTTGTAATTATAATGTTTTTATACATGTACACGAAAATTTAACGAAAAGGAAAATTTAACAGACACAGATGATTTCAACATATCTTCAGGGCCATCGCCAGGTCTCTGTAAGGGGGGGGGGGGGGGGGGGGGGCACAAAATTTAGCAGGATTACTTTTAACAGTTAGTATATCTTTGGTAAGAACTGACAACTTTTATTTGCAATCACCCCAGTAAGTCCACATAAGTTTATCAGTTTACACATGTTATATGAGTTTCAAACACTGATTTTTACAATGGTGTACTTTTTGATACCTCTTATATTCTGAGTACTCTTATAATTTTTATCTATGGAGTTTCAAGTTGTTCAGTATGTACAATAAATCTTTATCACTTAAACACATGAGATTTTCCTGTTTTGAAGTACCATCAATTACTTAGACAGTCATGAGAAAATGTATCAAAGTTTTCTCTCTCTCTCTCTCTCTGATTGTAAACCAGCAAATGTGTATTAAATGCAACAAATCTTATTGGCAATTCATTAGTTTGAAATTTATTTTTAATAAATAAATTTCATAACTGAAGAAATAATCAATTAAAAAATATATGGTTTTTGGTGAGAAATATTTGCAAGTAAAAGAAGCAGGGATTTTCCACTGATCTGTGTGAGCCAAATTTAGGCCCCATTCCCAATTGCAAAACCCCTTCTTTGTGTTTCAGTCCGAGTTGAAAATCAATAGAATTACTTAGATTTGAAGGCACATTCCTCTAGTGACGTGTATATAAATCTACTCTTTGATTAAATGTTCTAATTTAATTATGTTCTAAATTAAAATTAAATAAAAGCTCAAATTTATTCTTCATTTGAGTTTCTTTCTTTAAAATTGTCCTGTGATATAATTTCCCAATCAGTGATACAATGTCATTATATTCCCAATTCCAAAGGCCCTGGGCCCATTCCCAAAATGTTGTGGAAAATCCCTGAGTCTGTCCAGAAACTTCTGGATATTTCTCACATATGAATAAATGTTGTTTGACGGTATTCTAAAAAAAAATTGAATCTTGCTTTGGGGAAAAAGTCTATTAAAAAGATGCATTTTCACTTGATCAAAGAAATAAATGTTTTCAGTCAGAATGCAATTACAGTACATTGATATACAATATATTCATTTTCTTCTGTGAAATTGTGTTCTTTAATTATGTTTGCATTCATTAAAAACTCAAGAAAAAACATGACTGAGTATGGAGCCTTTAATCACATACACAGTTGGTATGGTGTCTGCAAGGACCTAGGTGTTCCTTTGAAGATATTTGTCTAAAAAATAAAACCATTAAAACATTGTTGTTTCTATTGGTTGAAAAGTACTTTGACCAGATTAAGGAAAGTAAAAATATCTGTTGTGGGTAATCACAACATTCAGTAAACATCACATGACTATTGCAAGATTGTACGGTAGAACTATGGCAACTGTGTGATGTACCGCTGACAATAAGAGTGAAAAGGATGAAAATATAATGGGAGCAAAAATTTTCCAGTATGCAGAATTTGTACAGCATTGGAAGATATTATAGACATTTCTAATTTTTAGTTCCCTACCGGTGAAACTGGAGGGGACTATAGGTTTCCTCTGAGTCCATCCGTCTGTTTGTCCTTCTGTCTGTCTGTCAGTCTGTCCCACTTGGTTTTCAACACTTTTTTTCTGAACGCTTGCAGACATTGAGCTGATTTTTGGTATGTGAGTGTATCTTGATGAGTTACAGAGAAAGTTTGCAATTGATTCCGCTTCATTGATTTTTGATGGAATTATGGCATTTTCAATTTTTAACGGGAACCAGATTCCACTTGCCGGTAAGGGACTAGTATTGCTAATGCAATACTTTCAGAATGCTTGTTTTTGTTATATTTTTACCATGGTCTGCATCGTTAATGTAAATACATGTAATGTATAGTAGGGTACAAAAGTAGAAAGGTATTTTATCATGTATCATTTCCCTGTTGTCATTTACAAAAGATTGCCTTTCATTTGACATTAATATGAAAGTTACACCGTCTCTGTAATTGCTTTAGCAATGATTGAATATACCAGTAAGTAAAGTAAATAAAATAAAATTAGGAAAGGAAATAAATTTCCAGAGGTAAGAGAGATTTTGTATTGACAGTCCGGGAATAGGAAGTAAATAAGATACAATAAATCTCTACACCGAAGGCACAACATATCAATACATCAACGTGTACCTCTCTGTGGAGATTGTGTTGTAAATATTGATGAGAAAGAGATGAGAGGCAGGGATCATTTATTATAAATGGAACCCTTAGGTAGTCATAGTTGCATATTTTGTGTCAGTGTAGGGTTATTATTTGAAAAAAATAAGTGAGATTCTGGAGCACAGCTGGGCTTAATATGCCTTGAGAAATAATGTTATTGCTCTGCAAAGAAAGCTTTGTAAAGGAAAATAACACATGGCCAGTAAGTGTGAAGTTTAACATTGTATTGATGTGTTGTAGATTTGGCACAGGCTGAAAAAGCTCTTGATGAAGGCCTGTTTGAAAACGAGGAACAAGATTTAGAGTTTGATGAATGTGGACTGGAGCTGGCAGCTAAAGAAGGTACCTAGAACATTGTCTGTACAGACAGGTAGAAATTATCCCTGATATGGTAGAAGAACTAGTACTGAAAGTCAAAGCATTCAAAATGTTTTTCTAGAATAGACAAATTCTTTCTAAATTATTGTCTAAAATTATACATTATGATATCATTTAAATTTGATGTCTGATTTCTTGAACTAGCTGACCTAGATTTTGAAGCTGAATTGGAAGGTAAAAGTTTTGGGAAAATTAATGAAAATCATATTATAGAATTGTCAATGATTTATTCTGTACTGAGCTATATTGGGAACATTTGGGTTTATGTTTCTGCATGCCATTTTCTGAGTAAATGCATCTAGAGCTGAGTAACTGCAACTTAACAGCATCCAATTGTTGGTTTTGTTGTTTTTAAATTGTAGCATGTCCAAGTTTTCTTTTGTTTCTTAAATTTATTGATGTATGAATGCATATTGTGTATTATTTTTTTAAATTTCTTTTTTTTTTCACTATCTCTCAGTTTCAGAAGTTGTTTTTTGTCCTATCATACAAACATTTTAAAAAGCTCTTCCTAAGATCAAAGCCTCTCCTAGAAAAAGTAAGTTAGTGTGTCTATTAATGTATTCAAGGAAATTTTCCCAATGAAAGCTACAGCTTACCAGAACATTGGGAATCTGGTAGAGCAATTTTACCCACTATCACGGACTGGAACAGCCCGGGTAAGAGAGTTCAGAGGTCGCCCAGGGGTCATCAGAGTGTGCACAGAAACAAGCATATTGCAAGCAATAGTTTAATGATCTAGGAGAAATAGAAAATATTATCGAAGAAAAACAAATGATTTAACAGCCAAACTCTAGTTTCAGTAAAACTTAATTGACAAAATGTAGCCAGAATGTATGAACAGGATAGTCAAACTACACATCCATAGGGATGGCTGAATTAGTCTGAACAGGGGGTAAACACGGGGGTAGCTGCAGATCTGTAGCTCTCTAGGTATTGGGTCCAGCTGATGGGGTTTTGGGTTTGGGTCCAGTTAATGGGGTTTTTGGTTTAGGGTCCAGTTGACAGGGTTTTGATTCCAGGTGACTGGGTTTAAGTTCCAGCTGATGGGTTCAAGGGTAAAGCTGACAGAGTATTGGGTAAAGCATATAGCTATGGAGTTTTCAATTCAGAATCCAGATGAAGGGATTTTGATTCCAACTGATGGATTTTAGGGTCCAGCTGGTGGGGTTTTGGGTCCAGCGGGTGGGGGTTTTTGGGTCCAGCTGGTGGGGTTTTGGCTCCAGCTGGTGGGGTTTTGGCTCCAGCTGGTAGGATTTTGGGTCCAGCTGATGGATTTGGGGGTTCAGCCAATGGGGTTTTGAATTTACAGTCCAGCCAATAGGGTTTTGAGTCTATCTGATGAGGGTATGAGTCTATATGTTGGGGTTAAGTGTGCAGCTAATGCAGTTTTGAGTCTATCTGATAGGGATTTTGAGTCTCTCCGGTGGCATTTAGAGTCCAGCTGATGGGATTTTAGGTCTAGTCGAAGGGAGTTTGAATCTAGCAGGAGGGTTTTGAATCCAGCTGATGGCGCTTAGGGATTATAGGGCTAGCAGATGAGGTGTTTGATACAGATGATGGGGTTTTTGGGTTTATGGACCAGTCGGTGTGTTTTATGGGTTGAGGCTCCAGCTCATAATGTTTTGAGTTTACAGTCCAGCTGATGTAGTTTTAAGTCTGTCTGGTTGGGATTGAGGTCCAGTTGAGGGGTTTAGGGTCCAGCGGATGGGGTTTAGGGTCCAATTGATGGTGTTTAATGTTCAGTTGATGGGGTTTAGGATCCAATTGATGGGGTTTAGGGTCCAATTGATGGGGTTTAAGGTTCAGTTGATGGGGTTTAGGGTCCAGTTGATGGGATTTTGTGTCCAGTTGAGGCGGTTTTGGTGTTCAGTTGAGGGGGTTTAGGGTCCAGTTGATGGGGTTTAGGGTCCAGTTGATGAGGTTTTGGGTCTAGTTGATGGGGTTTTGAGTCCAGTTGATGGGGTTTTGAGTCCAGTTGATGGGGTTTTGGGTCCAGTTGATGGGGTTTAGGGTCCAGTTGATGGAATTTTGTGTCCAGTTGAGGGGGTTTTGTGTCCAGTTGATGGGGTTTAGGGTCCAGCACATGAGCTCTGATGATTTCTGGAAGCTGAGAACTAATGCTATGTGTGCTAAATTAACAATCTTCTCAGTCTTGAGAATGAATCCAGCATGTAGATACATGTGAGTTCTGTTATGGAGATGTCCTTTGTAGATAGTTAATAAATTGCTTCTGAGAAAAATTGAGAAATGATTTATAATTGTAATCTGTCAAACATCATCAGTTATAAAGTGTTAGATGTATGTGTTTGAATTATACATAAGACAAAGTTTTTTCATTCTTCTTTAAAAAAAAAAATAAAATTACATTTATACTTGTAATATGCCATGTTGGATTTGTTCTTGAGAAGAGTGTTAATCCTGAGATGTATATAGTCATTGCTTGTGTCTGGGTTATAACTCAGCTCTTTTGTAGTGGCAGTTATGTCTCTCTTCTTTCCGAGTGATTGCACTTTGATCAATTTATGACATGTTTAATCTATTTATAAATATTAACAATATCTTATTACAATTATAGTATATTAATGTGTATTCTCTCGTAGAATGTGAACTTAAATATCTCACCAATATTTTTTTTTTTTTTTTTTTTTTTTGCTTGATTTACCCGAAATTAGACTTGATGTTGTGTGTTATGTATCTCAATGTGAAAACAATACAATCATGGCTTTTATTATTAGAACAAGTCTGATTGGTTTAAATGCACTTGTATGAAAAAAAGAAATTAAAATAATCATCATGTTAATAGGTAAACATTACTCAAAAACACTAGTATATACAATGTATTTGTATTTCCATCATTTTCCCAAATTTGATTGGTGACTTTAAGGACGTTCGATCCTGAGCTTTTGAGCAGATTTTGGTCTTGAGCTTTATTTCTAAAATTCTGCATTATTTTTAAGTTCTAACGTTAAATCTGGATTCTACAATGCAAATTATACTATATCCAATGAAAAAACTGCAATTAAATTCCATTCAAATAGGATTAAGCCAGGAACTATATTTTGTGGCGGAAGGTTTTTTAGAAGAAAATGATCATTTTTTTCCCTTTTGAAATACATGTATATACAGTACTGTTAAGTTTAGATTCCTATTTTTCCATGCTGGTTGCACACAGAGCTATTTTGTGCATTGAAATGTTTAATGTTGGTTCTAAAATATTAATTAAATCAGTTTTTTGTGAATTCTATCATCATATTGTGACAAATATAGAAAATATATTCTGAAACTCCAGGAAAAAATTGAGCCAATTTTATCATAAAATTAACAGTTTTTTAGTAATATCTAAAAAATAACATCATAGACCTCCACTTTTGATTTTCTTTTCTGAATATATAAGATAACTCTGATCAATCTACTTAAATTCAGCAAAAGTTTAAGACTTTAAAATATTTTTCTTGCTTGTTAAATTTTTAATGCCCGAAAAATGACATTTTGTGAGTGCAGAAAGGTCAAATAATTGATTATGCGAAGCAATTTGAAATTTTTTTTTTGGTCACAATTTTAATGTGTCTTTTTTAAGAGAGAATAATAGCATACTTTGTCCCATGATTTATTTGGATAAAAAATATTGGAGGGAAAACGTCGAAGATGTTATTTTTGATTAAGACACAAATTCAGTGCAAAAAGGTCATTTTAAATGTACTGTAGTGCCAAAAGAAGCATATTGACCCCCATTTTTTGTTTTGATTTTTAATTAAGCTATGTGTGTAGAAGCTAAAAATATACTTGATAAAAATAGTTTAAGACTTTAGATATCAGGATCCAACGTCGTTAATGAGGACACTTCAACAGACATAAATATCATGCTTCATTTGTGTGATCTGGTGAAAAGACCAACAAAATAGTATGATCATTTAATAAAATAATAATTGACATATTTGGTCAAGATGATCATTGAGCTACTCTCTAAGAATGAAATTCCACTCAATCTTCAGGTTCTCTGTATATTTTCCTCATTTCATACCTCAACAAACGTATTGACCTTGAACATGTGTTGAACAAGTCAATTATACTTGTATAATATCTCAGTGAATGCCTGGCTGTATTTAGTAAGAGCTCTCATGTAGTATCTGTGTGTATTTATATGTAGATCTGTATTCTCTATTATTTAATATTTATATATAAATATGCATTTTAATCTGATTTAACGATGCAGTAAAATGAACTGACTGATGAATTAATATAAATAAAAGGGAGCCTTGCTCTGTGGCACTGTATCATTTATCAGTATTGAATTGTGAATATCTTTATCCTAATAATCTACCTGTAACACTTACATATCAGTTATTGTAACATTTTTAGTGGATTGATTAGCTATATATATATTGCAGATTAAATTTGCACTTTACTGGAAATACTACACCTTTATTTTCATCCATTTGCTACTATTCAATGAGAAAGTGAAAGTGAATGAGACTTATTTCCTTGTGTGGGCATTTCCCCATGAATATTTTGTTAGTAGTCATAATTATACCAAACAGTTGTAAAACCTGATAGTGGTGTGAATTGATCTGTCTATAACAATTTAAGTCTCATCAGTGATGGACAGTCACTGCAAAAAACAACAACAATTTATAGAATGAGTTTCCATTATTTAACTGAAATCATTACAGTAAAAATCTTCTCTTTGTAACTTTGTATTTATTTTGTCAAGTATTTTTTTTACCTTCTATCTATATCATAAGCATCAATTTTTAGTACTTGGTGTGAGTTAAAGGAGAGAGGGGCATTGTTTACAGACTGGATCTTGGCATAATCTATTGGACAGGGGACAAATACTTTCAAATGATAAATTGACCAACAAAATATATATTACAAGGAAATATTCCTTTATTTCTATCCAGGTAGATTTAGTACAAACACACACACACACACAAATATATATTCTCCAACAGGTATTTATTAGTAATAGATTAACAGATTTTTTTTAACATTGGATAACAATTGGGCTCCCAAGACTTCAGTAATAATGTAACTGAGGTATGACCAGTCAAATATGATGTTTCAGAGGTCATGTACATACTTAAATAGTACAAAATTTAATTTGCACTTATCATAATTATACAACAAAAACTGTCATTTTAAAAACATTGCAAAAATTTAAGTGATAATGAATATTAATTACATGTGCAGATAATCTAGTATATATTATATATACATGATGAGGTGGAGAACTTACCATGTAAGTTGGTATTTTGAAATACACATGTACATGTTCTGTCATTTATTTATACAGAGTTAACGAGGGAGGGAGCAGATGGTCCCGCCCCCTTCCGTAGCGGTGCCATCACCCCTGATGGACTCATTGATGAGGATTTTGAGGCAGAGATAGGTACCCCATCTGTAAGTAGTACTTATCGGCATGTAGCGTTTTTACTTTGTCAACAGGTAAGGTACTGAGACAGTTTAAACCTGTGTGCCCGTACACTTTGATTTTATTGTAAGTACCATTGTTTACAGCAATTATATAAATTCTGTGTTGAATGTAATACACCTAGCATATTAAACAGCTCACAACTCAGATTTAAGCTTCCTCATTATTTTTTTAAGTCAATAATTGTAATATTTTCTTCCCTATTTTGACATTAGTCATGAGAGTAAGAATAATATGAGATTGTTATATAAATATGGATATGAAGGTGTACTTTGATGGTGCCTGTGTAAGGATGACTCACATTTTGGTATGTCTTGATACCACGCAAGAAATGAATGTTAGGTTTATACTCAGTTTTGGTCTGTTAGGTGTATACTGTTTTTGGTCTGTTAGGTGTATACTGTTTTATGTCTGTTTGTCCATCCAATGAAAAAGACGAAGATAACAAACAGTGATCAATTTCAAAAAAATCTATAAACAATACAAATCTGTGAAGACAAAATAAAACATGGACCCCGGAAATGACAGAGGTGGGATCAGGTGTCAAGGAGGAGTAAGCATCCCCTGTTGACTGGGCACACCCGCCGTGAGCCCTATGTATTGATCAGGTAGACGGAACATTGCGTAGTCAAATTCAGTATAAAAATTGGCCTAACAATTGGTATGAAACACATCAACCAAAGTTCAAATCAATGATAGGCTATATATGCTAACAATGTAATATCTATGAGAAAAGACTCCATATTATATCAAAGTTTAAGGTCAGAGCTTTGTTTTAAGTCAAGGTCAGTGTCAGATATTCAGATCAATGATCAAGTGATAATGGTCAATATAGACATATTCCACAAATTATTTAATGTATTGTATGTTTTGTTTCTTTTAACTTTCAGTTAAATAAGTATTTATGTTTTGTTTCTGTACTGTTGTTGTTTGAACTTTCAGTTAAATAAGTATTTATGTTTTGTTTCTTTTAACTTTCAGTTAAATAAGTATTTATGTTTTGTTTCTTTTAACTTTCAGTTAAATAAGTATTTATGTTTTGTTTCTGTACTGTTGTTGTTTGAACTTTCAGTTAAATAACTATTTCCAGGATGATGAAGAAACTGATGTAGAATTTCAGGATATTGCAGAGCACAAAATCTTAGAAGTGGCCGGTGAGTAGTAAAGAGCAACAGTACAATAGAGTCAGCTGTTATTAATCTGATTATATATCAGCTATTCAGTTTACAAAAAAAAATATAATATAAAATCTCCTCTGCAAATCACTTAATGGATATAATGTAGGAGTTATCATGTCTGACTGTGTGTCTGTCTGTCCTGATTTGTGATCAACTGTAGATTTGAAAAAGTTGAATACTAGATGCTCATATTTGGTACAAAAGTTGTTTATGAAAATAGAGTGTGGCAGCACAGGCACCTGACCGTTACTTATTTTTTCTTTAAATAAAAAAATATAGGCCTACCTCCTACCTACCGTATGTACTCGCCTATAAGTCGTTTTTTTGGGTGTTAAACTTTGGTTGAAAACTCTTTATCTGACTTATACGCGAGTTATAAAAAGATTGGTATTTTAGTGGGTCAATCCCTCTAATTTAAGCTTAAAAAATACGACAGACTTATGGGCGGACCAACTTTTAGGCGAGTATATATGGTAATAATACACAAGGTACACATCAGGCGCCATCTTGAATTTTTCTAGGTCGGTCACATCAACTTGTATTTTCATCTGAAACCCCGTGAAATAAATTCCCTGCAACCATATTCTTTCTGTGGTCAGTCTTTCGAGGTCACAACTTATGGACAGTGCAACCAGAAGGGCGCATCACACTTGCATATATTAAAAATCTCTCGTTGAACAATCCTGCACCATGGTCATTTGGACAAGATCATTGTCCTTTTCATAACCTTGTAACAGAATAACTTTAAAAGATCATTCTGGGCCTCAGGTTTTATTATGATGGTAGGCTTGTAATGAGGTCAAGGCCACAGGGTTCAAAAATGACAAAATCTGAAAGTGTTGGAAATGTAAACTTCTGACAAATATTGTAGGTGTGTATTTTTATAATCAACAACAAAGTTTAAAGTAAGAACATATAGATTACTTAATTTTTATTTGTCTAATTACGATGTTGTATATATTTTACAGGAGATGACCTCTATGGTAGAAAGGTCATTGTCTTTGCGGCCTGTAAATTACCTCCAAGTACACAAATTGACCATCAACGTTTACTACAGTACGTTAGTCTCTGAGGTCCACTAGTACTGAGACTACTACTGAATATTCATATCAAGTGACAACAACTCACAGAAATATGATTCTAATAACATCACTTTTGAAACTTAAGATATTAAGAGATGGTTGATGTACAAGACCTGCATTTCTTCAATTTTTGGCTTTTTTTTATAGGTATATGAAGCATGTTCTAGACCAGTATGTAGAAAATGACTATGTGCTAGTTTATCTTCACTTTGGACTAACCAGTAAAAATAAACCCAAGCTTTCATGGCTGATACAAATATATAAAGAACTCGATCGCAAGTAAGAACCACACAGTTTGGTAAAATCTTTATTTCTTAATCATTGGTTGAAAGTATTAAGATTCATTTAACTGTAATGCTTTGTACTGAACTTTTCTTTTATTTATTCATTTTTTTTTGTTTATGCAGTACCTTGTGTACAATCTGTTTTATTTATTTAAACAGGTACAAAAAGAATCTCAAAGCTTGTTATATTGTTCACCCAACCAACTTCATTAAAATCTTATGGAATATATTCAAACCTTTTATCAGGTGAGTAGAGGATTTTTAAGTCACATGTTTGTCATGTGATTAGTTTTATGTCATGTGGTTTGTCTTGGTGTTTGTTGTAGAGAGTGTTTTGTACTATTCCCTTTATAATTTGATGTTAAAATCTTTTTTAGTACCTCATGTCAAATTTATCCAACTTACACTTTAGTATGCATGATTTGTCCTATTGAAGAACAATAACCCAGAATTTTTATTTCTTATAAACACACAAATTTACCAAAAAAAAATGAAGAAACCAGATAAGGAATGCTGGTTAACCTTAGGAATTTTAATGTATGAATGTCTGAGTCATTTTTTTTCTTTTTTTGTTATCTTTCATATCTTTGCATCCAGAAGGTATGTACCTGACAACTCTATGCTGCCTCTAGTGTTTAATTAATTTTTTTTTTTTTTTTTTTTTTTTTTTAATACATTTTATGCTATTTGAGTGGTAAATTAACTTTAGATGATCATTGCAGAGTAAGTTCCCCTGTAAATTACCATAGTTTGAATATTTAGGTGATGAACTTATTAGTAGAATACTATTTCAGATTGTATTTAAAATTAAACAAAATTATGAATGATTAATTTATGAATAAATAAAGTGCACATATTTTGGAATATTTCGGTGAATGTTTAAATGATTACTGTAGAAGTTCTCCAGTTAATTACTGTGGTTTGAGATATTGAGGTAATGAATTAATATCTCAAGTAGAATACCGTAGAAAACTTTTTTTTCAGATTGTATTTATAAGTGAACTAAATTATGGATATAATATGCACATATTTTGGTATGTTGGTGAATTTTTCTTTATTTCTGTGTGTTGTTGTTTTAATCATTTGATGTGCACTTTTAACCACAGAAACATCACAGTGAAAGTGACTAATGGTCCAAAAAACATCATAGAGAAAGTGACTATTAGTTGTTTGATGATGATTCTTTTATGATATAATGATATCTTGACATAATGAACTCAGGATATAATGATATCTTGACATAATGATATCTTGACATTATAATGATATCTTGACATAATGAACTCAGGATATAATGATATCTTGATGACTATATATTCACCTGATAATATCTTGACATAAAGATATCTTGACATAATGTTATTTTGACATAATGTTATTTTGACTAAAGGATATTTTAGCATAATGATATCTGGTTTAAATCATATCTTAACTTTATGATACAGTCAAGTCATGCATTCTAGCAAAAAATTAGCCTTAACCTCAAACTAATTTGCAACTTAAATTATTTTGTGATTAAAAGCTTTAATTAGATTTGAAATATATTAGGCCAAATAAAAAAATATGTGTGGTTCCGGTTACCCGACCTTCCCTATTTTATACCCCGGACCCTAAACTTTTTTTTGGCAATTTTCATATTTTTTCCGGAATTTCCCCCGATTTCCATCAATGGCTCCAGTTTAAGTTTTAGTTTCAACAATGACGGCCTCCTTGCAAAACATAGTGCAAGTGTTTAATAGTGTTTAATCCAAAGCAAGCTAGCATGTAGGTGTCCCCTACCAATATTGACTAGTATATTATCACACCACATCTAAATGCCATTTGCAAAGCAGTGATAGGTATTATTTAGAAAAAATTAAGAAAACCATTTTGTTAAAAAAAAAAAAAAAAAAAAAAAAAAAAAAAATCCCTACCTACCTACCCTAATTTTTTTGGTAGTGTAACCGGAACCACACATATTTTTTTGTTTGGCCTTAAGTAAGTAGTTAAAAAAAAATCTAATCATGGAAAGCGTGATTTAATTGCCAATGGAAATTTCTGTAAAGAAGGGGTGTAACTCTGTTAATCCATTTAAATTTTTTCTGAGACGATTTGAGTAAAATTGCTTATTTTTCAAAGTATGGAAATGTGGTTTAAAATGCTCTATATTATTTGAAATATCATTTTTTCACATGGATAATATCAATATGAATGAATTTTTTGAAATGAACTTGACATATTTGTCCAGTTTTGATAATACAGGGTAGATTTGTACTTTGATTCTGTCCCTTTACTTAAGAAGTAAATGAATGTAACTACATCATTGTAGGCAAGTCATAGTGAATACTTTACCTTTATGTAACTAATGTGTAACTACATCATCATAGGCCTGTTGTATTGAATGCTGTCCCTTAATGTAATCAGTTACTAATGTGTAACTACATCATCATAGGCCTGTTGGAAAGAATGCTGTCCCTTTATGTAACAAGTTACTGATGTGTAACTAAATCATCATAGGCCTGTTGTAGTGAATTTTGTTCCTCTATGTAACCAGTAACTGATGTGTAACTACATTATCATAGGCCTATTGTAGTGAATGCTGTCCCTTTATGTAACTAGTTACTGATGTGTAACTACATCATCATAGGCCTATTGTAGTGAATGCTGTCCCTTTCTGTAACCAGTTACTAATGTGTAACTACATCATCATAGGCCTGTTGTAGTGAACGCTGTCCCTTTATGTAACTAGTTACTAATGTGTAACTACATCATCATAGGCCTGTTGTAGTGAATGCTGTCCTTTTATGTAACCAGTTACTGATGTGTAACTACATCATCATAGGCCTGTTGTAGTGAATGCTGTCCTTTTATGTAACCAGTTACTAATGTGTAACTACATCATCATAGGCCTGTTGTAGTGAATGCTGTCCCTTTATGTAACCAGTTACTGATGTGTAACTACATCATCATAGGCCTGTTTAGTGAATGCTGTCCCTTTATGTAACAAGTTACTGATGTGTAACTACATCATCATAGGCCTGTTTAGTGAATGCTGTCCCTTTGTGTAACAAGTAACTGATGTATAACAACATCATCATAGGTCTTTCATAGTGAATTTTGTTCCTCTATGTAACCAGTAACTTATGTGTAACTACATCATGGTAGGCCTGTTGTAATCACTGTTTGTATACTATTTTGTTGCTAGCCTAAAGGAGAGAAGATAGGGGTGGAAAGTTTTACTATTGAGCTAATAGTTGTATTAAACTTATTATTTGTCTTGATTTGTCCATGTATAATGAATGTACATGAGATCCTCATATAAGGCTTTCATCCAAGCAATATACCATATTACATCTTTTGTTATATTTTCCCTAGTTTGTTGACTTATTGCTATGGAAATATATTTATCAAATGAGTAAGATATATAGTTGTAATGGTGAATCACAGTAATCAGTGGCAACAGTTTCTGAACCTGATTGAATCCTTTTTTGTCATTGGACAGTTCTGCGATATTACACCCTCGTGATATTTATTTCTATAGCCTATCTGCACATGTATTATATATCATTTGTTCATGTATTATTAATTAAACAATGGTATTTTAATCTTTAGTCATATTCAGATTATGTTTCACCAAAAATAAGCTACACATTGTCTTTTTAATTTATGTAGAAGAAATATTAGTAGGATGTTCATTGATATTTTGGATTAAGTATTCAATAAAATTTTATCTATGTTGAAAGGTTCCTTGGAATTATGCACTCTAAAATTGATGTTTGATTCCTGTTGCTTAAATTGAAGTCTAAACCATAAAATTAATGTAATCCCTGTTTAATTACTTTCACAAACGAAACTGTAAAATTTAATAATGTTAAAAAAAAAACCCTGTTTGTTGGGTAATACACATAATGGTCTCTGGTCGGTAAGCAACATGACTTGCACAATACTTTATTTTGATTTCTTTTCAACTCAACGTTGACATTGGGTGGTGCCACACTAGTCAATATTGAATGTAGAATTTCCTGATTTCAAATTGTAAAATAAGCTCTTTTAAGATAGAATTATAGAGAAAGATTTTCTCATATTCAAGTTAAACAAACTTTTTTTAATTATAATTTTTTTTCTTCTCAAATTCTTGAATTTTGTTGGGCTAAATTTGATTTATACATGCAAAATAGATATTTTACAAATTGGTATACCTACGTGTAGTTAATATAAAAAATTACTTGGACTATGATATCAATGATGTTTTGTATATTCAGGTTAAGTGAATCAACACTCACCCAGACTTCATATAGACTCTGTGTTCTTGTGTAAGAGGGATTCAGATTTTGGCAACATTAGAACTATCCTAAAACCTTCATGCACTAATTCATGAAGAGTGCCAAAAAAAGATACATAAATGAAAAAAAAAAAATGTTTAAAGGCCAGAAAGTCTATCACCTTCGTTAAACAAAACTTTTGAATAAGTTAAAATAAGTACATTCACCATATGACCTTAATATCAATATTTTTATCTGTGGCTCAAATGGCAGTTTTTTTTCGTGATGTATGTTATAAATGAACAATACCGATATCAGATTTCTACTTGCATCATAGATTTGTATAGATTTTGTGTAATTATAATATAAGACTTGCATTCTCATTGTTATAGGTGAAATTACACTGATAATTCTGCAAATGCTTGACAGTATATAAAAATTCAAATTACAGGAACACAAGAACGCACTCATTGCACTAAAAAAAGTCACAATTATAAAGACAGCATCTAACGTAATAGAGGTATATACAATTAGCAAGATTTCCTCTTAAATGTTGGTGAAATGTGGGTATGGAAAAGATGAGAGTATAATTTAAGGTTCATTGACCCTCTGATAAGAGAGGTAACTGTTACTGGGATAAATGATAATTATTTAAAAATGAATTTAATCGCTACCCAATTTATACGGTATAAACTGGGTTTGGGGGGGGGGGGGGGGGGGGTACGCTTTATGAACCGAAGCGGTTTTTAAAAAAGTGTTAACTGTTGCAACTCAGTTTATACTGTATAAATTGGGTAACTATTAATTTCATTCCTTATAATTTAATTTTCACTCATTTAGTGTAAGAAAAAAGATGATTGCCTTAAAAAAAGACTTCAAATTGTACTAAATTTGAATGTAATGTCAGGTGGATCGATACATTTTTGACACAAGTCATTGTGACGTAGGCATGCAACCCAATTTATACGATATAAAGTAAATTTTTTATCCAGTCAAATACTGTGTTATAACCATAATCAAATTATTCCTTTATAAAATTGCTACATTTTAAAAAGACCATTTCTGTCAAATTTTGTCATGCATGGTATGCTAAAATTATGTGCATTTTAATAAAGAATATTAGTTTTCATTTGCAAAACAATAGTGTTAAATTAAAATTTTCTATCAGTGAACCATGGGGTGATGAACCTTAAATATTGATAAGCTTTCTAAAGCTATTGCATAAGAAAAACAAAGTACATTACCCATACTGGCTATAATTTGAACCATTGAAGCAGTGCAAAATGCAAACTTGATCTGTAACTCATCGATATACACATACCAATAAGCTAATTCAGGGAAGTTATGTCTCCCATTTAAGTTCAAAATAATGTGTAGAAGATCTAAAAAAAAAAAATAAATAATGATGAAGATAGTAAATAAGGATTGAACTTTAACCTTTCACCTTTTGGCCTCAAAATCGATATCTAGTGGACTTTCCTATCTTAGAGAGAGTCACCATCTTAAGTTTCATTGTAAAATCTCTCAGAAACTGAGTTATCCTCCGGAAACCATTTTATGCAATGTATGAAAATTTGACCTCAAAATTAATAGAATCTTTTTTAAATTATATAAAATTTCATTACAAAAGCTTTCAGAGAACTATAAAGTTTTCATCTGGAAATCGTTTACAGGTCACCTGAGTGACACAGGTTTCCTTTTATATTGCTATCTGTTTTTGTCTTTCGTCATCCACCATTCGTCAGTCATAAACTTTTGCACATTTTCAGCTTCTTCTCTTTAACCACTGAACCAATTTCAACCAATTTTAGCATATAGCATCAATAGGTCAAGGGGAACAAAAGTTGCGAATTCCATGATCCCTGCCCCCCCTAGGGCCTGAGGGGTGAGGTTAAAACCATCAGAATTAGTGCTATCTTTAAATTCTTCTTCTTTACTTCTGGACATCAAGCAAGCAAACTGTTGGCATGATTATTGAGCACTGAGCCGTTCACCAAAATTGTGAAAGTCATGTCCCCAGGGTCAGGGATTCTGGAGTAGGATGGGGCTCTAATGATCATGTAATGAAAATGCATAAATTCTTTTAAAAAAATCTTCTCCGCCCCTGGGTATTTAGCAGACAAAATAATTGCACGTTTATGATGAGCAAGGGTGCCTCTTCCAAAATCATGAAATTTGTGGCCCCAGGGTGAGGGGTTCTGGTGTGTCGTTTGCCGCCATATTTCACTTGAACAAGGGCTCTTTGTAACATTTTATAGAATATCGACCCAAAACCAATATTCACAAAAAATACAGTGATAATATTGTGCACAACGAAATCGGGATTCACCAGTTACATGTAACCGTTAATATTGCACAGCACTAATACTTCTACGGATCCTTTACCATGTTTTACAGTGTTGTATTATACTCAGCTGACCGTTAAGGCCCTTGGGCCTCTTGTATGTCAATAGCAATATGTTGTAAGTTAAACACCATGTTCCAACTGTTGTAAGGATTTAACTTTAATTTTCTGACTACTTTGTTTTCTTTAAGACACTGAAATAAAGGTTATCCTCTATAAATAGCCTTTACTCTTCACGTGTAAATGGCCATGATTTTGTAATGACGTGATGTGGCACCATGATATACGTCAACAAGTCTATCAGAAGCAATTTAGTAGTCCAGGTATTTCACATATATATATATATGTATATATATGTATATGTAGCACTTCAAAATCAATACTAAGACTAAGATATAAGACAGAGAAACAGCTAGTGGAGTAACTGGTTGTAAAAACATCCACAGGTAAAATGTCTCACTGAGTATTTGAATTCTGTCTGGTAGAAGGGAGATACAGGATTTCTTTACAATGTTAGGTTTTACTTTCATTTAAACAAAGAAATGTCTTGGATTTTGTTGCAGCATAGAAATTTTTATAAAACAATAGGGATTGTTTGGGATTTTTTTTTTCATAAGGAATCTTGTATCCGAGAAAAATAGGAATAGATTGTACATGTGCAGAAGAACATATACATTTCTATTGTAAAAAAAAGTATGATAGGTTTCTATGAAATTTAAAAGAAACAATTTTGTTCTAGACAGATGTGATAGTCAGATATCACTGGAACACATTTTACTTGGGGAATCTTTAATTTATGTACAAGCAATATATGAAGATAAGAGGATGGATTTTCTCTGGACCAATATAGAAACTGAAGACTATTGTTTCCATTATTTTATTTAATACAGGCTGTGAATTTGATAATAGTTCAGCTGGGCTTGGTTGCTTAGAACATGATTTTGTGATAATTGGAGAAAGGTGTATGCTAGACATGTGTATAAAATTTATATTCGGATTGTGGTTTTTATAATGTACAGTATATTTGTAATATGAAATCATATTGAAGAATTTTTCCAATGCCTCATCTTGATAACAATAAAAAATATAAACTTAACTTTCAGAAGAAAAAACCAATTTCTTCTATAACTATGTTTATTTTTTCAGTGTGAAGTTTGGAAGGAAAATAATGTATGTGAACTACCTACACGAGTTGAAGGCCCACTTACATTTTGATCAGTTGGTTGTTCCTCCATTAGTCCTGCAGTAAGTTTCTTTTCTCCCATTATTAATTTTTCTATTCACTCATGTGCAGCTGTTCTGTTTTCATGTGCATGACATGTTATGAAACACCTAGGATGATAGTCATTGGCTGCTGCTCCAAGGACTACTTGAAATATATGTCTGTTTTTGCTAAATGGCAGAAATAGGCCCCATAACCAGTGCTTGTTTGTGATCACAGGGATGAAATACTATTCAATATTAGTATTTAGGTCCCTGGTAATCAGTTTTCTCAAACTTGTTTTCCTTAATTTTTTTCTCCAAAAGACACTAGACAAGCCTTGGAGGAAAACTGTTTACTAACTGGCACTGGTTCTTGAACCTATATGTATCTACTACTGCGGACTTCATTTACTGCATCTGATCAGCTGATTTAATGTGTGTTGTCATCAAGAAATAGATTTTACAATTGGTGACTTACTGCATGATCATGAGGAGAAAATGAAGTGAATTTAATATTTATTTCTTTTAGAAAAATCATGTTCTAATGGCAACTGAGGAATGTGATTTTTGTGGGTGAATGAAATTTTCACCTTCATATTCCCTTAATGTTCAATATGATTTCTTAATGATACATGAACTCTATCTGCTTTGTTGTGTGAATGGCTTTTTTTCTTTTTTCCTTTTTTTTGCCTATGACATTTGTGATGTTTTTGGACATGTTGTAAGTAGAACAAGCAAATTCTTAGAATAATATTGTGGTCCCCTTTCTTGGGAGTCGTAAAGGTTGGAGTCAGACTTTAAGGTCAGGATCATGAGGTAAAAAATTGTAAAACATTCAGAAAGGTCTTGTCACAGGTGTTGTATATTATGAAATCCGTATCTTCTCTCATTCAAAAGTTATGACCAGTGTTCAAGTTTTTGTGACTGACAGACAGATGGACAGACAGACCAATAAGGTTTAATGTCCTCTTTGCTTTTGCAAAAGTGGTTTTAAAAAATAAGGCTGTCAAGAGAAATATGATTTTTATTTGAAGCAAGTATTGTTGTTCACATGGTATCGGACTTTGTCTTATTTTGTAAATATTCTATATGAGATAAAATGATTTGGGTAAGTTAATTGACATTTTTAGAATTATATACAGTAACTTAGTCTTGATTGTGTGGAGAATCTTCATTACAAAATCAAATGTTCACATAAATCAGTTGATGCTGAAACATTATGATGAAATTTTAATAGTGTGATGCTTTTACATTGTAGACATGATGCTAAACTGGTGGCCTCCAATAAACCTAAGTATCCTTATGGTGTAGACAGCAGTGATGCCGGTACCCTGCCCACACAGCAGTACGGAGTCTCACTTCACCAGTAAGTCAGATCAAGTTAACATAGCCAGCGTTACTTTATATCCAGTTATTGACTCTATATTTACATTCTTAATTGTTTTCTCTGTGATAACTCTTTAAAAGTTAGGTGAGTTGATTTCTTGATTTATAATTAAACCTGAATGTAAATTTCACCAAGTGAAAGGTCAGGAGCCTAATATGCATGTCAATCTTGTGTGGCTGTCTTTGTGTCTAACCTCAGTGGGTAGGGACTTTGAAATGAACATGGGAGGCCTCATGTATTTTAAATCTATTAGACAGCTTTTTTTTAAATTTATAAATACAATTTTATTTCACAAAGAAATTAAATGTAAGGAATCACTGTCTAGTTTGTTAGGTATGCCAGGGGCGTCACCCGTTATGCAAATTATCCCACATTTCCAACTATCGTTGATGCCCTTGCATACCCGACAAACTAGACAGTGTTTCCTTAAGTAGATCTTGGTGTCAAAGTTTAATCATTCCGAATGTTTTCATATTTTACTCTATTAAATTATTGAGAAATATATTAACATAGACATTTGATTCATTTTTAGTATAAAGAATCATTACGGCTGTGTCATTCCCCCCGTGGTATCTCAGACAGTGGATTATCTCAGACAGAATGGTCAGTTATTACAAAATTCAATATCTCAGACAGAATGGTCAGTTATTGCAATAATCATTATCTCAGACAGAATGGTCAGTTGTTACAATAATCAGTATCTCAGACAGAATGGTCAGTTATTACAATAATCAATATCTCAGACAGAATGGTCAGTTATTACAATAATCAGTATCTCAGACAGAACGGTCAGTTATTACAATAATCAATATCTCAGACAGAGTGGTCAGTTATTACAATAATCAGTATCTCAGACAGAATGGTCAGTTATTACAGTAATCAATATCTCAGACAGAATGGTCAGTTATTACAGTAATCAATATCTCAAACAATGGATTATCTCAGGTAGTATGGTCATTTATTACAATAATCAATATCTCAGACAGAATGGTCAGTTATTACAATAATCAGTATCTCAGACAGTGGATTATCTCAGACAGAATGGTCAGTTATTACAATAATCAGTATCTCAAACAGTGGATTATCTCAGACAGAATGATCAGTTATTACAATAATCAGTATCTCAGACAGAATGGTCAGTTATTACAATAATCAATATCTCTGAAAGGGTGGTCAGTTATTACAATAATCAATATTTCAGACAGAATGGTCAGTTATTACAATAATCAGTATCTCAGACAGAATGGTCAGTTATTACAATAATCAGTATCTCAGACAGAATGATCAGTTATTACAATAATCAGTATCTCAGACAGAATGGTCAGTTATTACAATAATCAATATCTCAGACAGAATGGTCGGTTATTGCAATAATCATTATCTCAGACAGAATGGTCAGTTATTACAATAATCAGTATCTCAGACAGAATGGTCAGTTATTACAATAATCAGTATCTCAGACAGAATGGTCAGTTATTACAATAATCAATATCTCAGACAGAATGGTCAGTTATTACAATAATCAATATCTCAGACAGAATGGTCAGTTATTACAATAATCAATATCTCAGACAGAATGGTCAGTTATTACAATAATCAATATCTCAGACAGAATGGTCAGTTATTACAATAATCAGTATCTCAGACAGTATGGTCAGTTATAACAATAATCAATATTTCAGACAGAATGGTCAGTTATTACAATAATCAGTATCTCAGACAGAATGGTCAGTTATTACAATAATCAGTATCTCAGACAGAATGGTCAGTTATTACAATAATCAATATCTCAGACAGAGTGGTCAGTTATTACAATAATCAGTATCCTAGACAGTGTGGTCAGTTATTACAATAATCAGTATCTCAGACAGTATGGTCAGTTATTACAATAATCAATATCTCAGACAGAATGGTCAGTTATTAAAGTAATCAATATCTCAGACAGAATGGTCAGTTATTACAATAATCAATATCTCAGACAGAATGGTCAGTTATTAAAGTAATCAATATCTCAAGCAGTGGATTATCTCAGACAGAATGGTCAGTTATTACAATAATCAATATCTCAGACAGAATGGTCAGTTATTACAATAATCAATATCTCAGACAGAATGGTCAGTTATTACAGTAATTCATATCTCACACAGTGTTTTATTTCAGGCAGTATGGTCAGTTATTACAATAATCAATATCTCAGACAGAATGGTCAGTTATTACAATAATCAATATCTCAGACAGAATGGTCAGTTATTACAATAATCAATATCTCAGACAGAATGGTCAGTTATTACAATAATCAATATCTCAGACAGAATGGTCAGTTATTACAATAATCAGTATCTCAGACAGTATGGTCAGTTATAACAATAATCAATATTTCAGACAGAATGGTCAGTTATTACAATAATCAATATCTCAGACAGAATGATCAGTTATTACAATAATCAGTATCTCAGACAGAATGGTCAGTTATTACAATAATCAATATCTCAGACAGAGTGGTCAGTTATTACAATAATCAGTATCCTAGACAGTGTGGTCAGTTATTACAATAATCAATATCTCAGACAGAATGGTCAGTTATTACAATAATCAATATCTCAGACAGAATGGTCAGTTATTAAAGTAATCAATATCTCAGACAGAATGGTCAGTTATTACAATAATCAATATCTCAGACAGAATGGTCAGTTATTAAAGTAATCAATATCTCAAGCAGTGGATTATCTCAGACAGAATGGTCAGTTATTACAATAATCAATATCTCAGACAGAATGGTCAGTTATTAAAGTAATCAATATCTCAAGCAGTGGATTATCTCAGACAGAATGGTCAGTTATTACAATAATCAGTATCCTAGACAGTGTGGTCAGTTATTACAATAATCAGTATCTCAGACAGTATGGTCAGTTATTACAATAATCAATATCTCAGACAGAATGGTCAGTTATTAAAGTAATCAATATCTCAGACAGAATGGTCAGTTATTACAATAATCAATATCTCAGACAGAATGGTCAGTTATTAAAGTAATCAATATCTCAAGCAGTGGATTATCTCAGACAGAATGGTCAGTTATTACAATAATCAATATCTCAGACAGAATGGTCAGTTATTAAAGTAATCAATATCTCAAGCAGTGGATTATCTCAGACAGTATGGTCATTTATTACAATAATCAATATCTCAGACAGAATGGTCAGTTATTACAATAATCAATATCTCAGACAGAATGGTCAGTTATTACAATAATCAATATCTCAGACAGAATGGTCAGTTATTACAATAATCAATATCTCAGACAGAATGGTCAGTTATTACAATAATCAGTATCTCAGACAGTATGGTCAGTTATAACAATAATCAATATTTCAGACAGAATGGTCAGTTATTACAATAATCAGTATCTCAGACAGAATGATCAGTTATTACAATAATCAGTATCTCAGACAGAATGGTCAGTTATTACAATAATCAATATCTCAGACAGAGTGGTCAGTTATTACAATAATCAGTATCCTAGACAGTGTGGTCAGTTATTACAATAATCAATATCTCAGACAGAATGGTCAGTTATTACAATAATCAATATCTCAGACAGAATGGTCAGTTATTAAAGTAATCAATATCTCAGACAGAATGGTCAGTTATTACAATAATCAATATCTCAGACAGAATGGTCAGTTATTAAAGTAATCAATATCTCAAGCAGTGGATTATCTCAGACAGAATGGTCAGTTATTACAATAATCAATATCTCAGACAGAATGGTCAGTTATTAAAGTAATCAATATCTCAAGCAGTGGATTATCTCAGACAGAATGGTCAGTTATTACAATAATCAGTATCCTAGACAGTGTGGTCAGTTATTACAATAATCAGTATCTCAGACAGTATGGTCAGTTATTACAATAATCAATATCTCAGACAGAATGGTCAGTTATTAAAGTAATCAATATCTCAGACAGAATGGTCAGTTATTACAATAATCAATATCTCAGACAGAATGGTCAGTTATTAAAGTAATCAATATCTCAAGCAGTGGATTATCTCAGACAGAATGGTCAGTTATTACAATAATCAATATCTCAGACAGAATGGTCAGTTATTAAAGTAATCAATATCTCAAGCAGTGGATTATCTCAGACAGAATGGTCAGTTATTACAATAATCAATATCTCAGACAGAATGGTCAGTTATTACAGTAATTCATATCTCACACAGTGGATTATCTCAGGCAGTATGGTCAGTTATTACAATAATCAATATCTCAGATAGAATGGTCAGTTATTACAATAATCAATATCTCAGACAGAATGGTCAGTTATTACAATAATCAATATCTCAAACAGAATGATCAGTTATTACAATAATCAGTATTTCAGACAGTGTGAACAGTTATTACAATAATCAATATCTCATACAGAATGATCAGTTATTACAATAATCAGTATCTCAAACAGTGGATTATCTCAGACAGAATGATCAGTTATTACAATAATCAGTATCTCAAACAGTGGATTATCTCAGACAGAATGGTCAGTTATTACAATAATCAGTATCTCAAACAGAACAGTTCGGCATGATAATTACAGAATTGAAAAGAAGAGGGTGTTTCAATGAAGCAGGGAAAGAAAATCACAGATTAAAGGACAAAAATCATACTTTAGATTTAAAAATAAACTAAAAATCAGTATTTTTTCTCAAATTTGATTTCTTTCTCCATTTTTTTCTACACTAAGATTTAACCTCATCTAAATTTCATTAACTTAGTAATTACAGTGGCGCCTCGTTAATCCGGACGCCTCCGTCCCCAACGAAATCGTCCGGATAAATGAATCGTCCGGATAAGTGAATCACTTCTTTAAAGACATACCCTTTCAAAGCATGTACATATGAACATAGTGGTATCAAATGTGAAGGCAAAGAAAACACTTTTATTTTACCTTGACTTATTGATTTTATTTTTATAGTTTTAAAAGAAATAATTAATATTTAAAAAAATAAAAAATAAAATGTAATTTACACGATGAAAAATGGATAGGCAGTTTTATGTTGAGACTTCCTTTTCTAACACAGGAAACTTTACTCGCCTTCTATTTGAGGTGTAGTTACATGGGCTGACCAGATTTTGATCTGCTACTGTTTTATTTTGGCACATTTTTTTTATTTATTCAAGCCCATATTAAGTAGAACTGTTCATTATCACCATTGAGAATGTTCAAGTGACTAACCGCGTATATTCACTACATAGGGAAAAAAGTAACTAAAAACTGTAATCAGTGTACTTATTGCAAACATTCAACGTAAACACAAGCCATATTCAGGATTATCAATACTTTTTCTATAAACTCTAAGTATATACCTTGAAAAAATGTGATCGGCATTTATAACTAACGCCAGTTACGTATTTCTTAGTGCATTAATAGAAATATATTTTCTTGAATTATGTATCATAATAAATTGTCTTACGAAAAGAAAAAAAAACGTTTCAAATAATGTACGATCGTAATTTGATAAACATACGCAAAACTACAACGAAATCTCGTGATTTATTATTCAGAAAAAAAAATTATTTACAACTCTCCAAAATTCTCATAAATTTATATACCGTTAGCAATTTATTCTATTCTGAACGAATTTATATTTAATTAATGCACAGTGTAAGCTAAATTCTTCGGGCTTTATATTATAAAAGACGTGTGTTTTATCCGAGGTAAACACACGCTAATTATAGACGCTATTGTTTAGAGGTCACTGGTAACCGCCTTCAAACTGACTCCACGGACAATGTTTTTACAATACTTATCACTACTGCAAGAAAGGTGTGAAAAGTCGTTCCTCGAAAAATTACCGTCCGGATAAACGAGTCATTTTTCAAAGAAATATTACGTTATGTAGTAGAAATTGACCGTCCGGATCCAGAACGCGAATTTCCGGATTAATGAGACAGAATAACGTGGAAAAAATCGGTTCCCGAAAAATATCGTCCGGAAGGTGAAGCGTCCGGATTATTGGCGTCCGGATTACCGCGGCGCCACTGTATTTATATAGAGTAGTTTATAAAATATAAATGGATCATAACCGTACTATTTTTCTCCATTATCTCCTTCTTTTGACTTATGGCTATTACTTCAAAACCAAACAAAAACAATGAAAATTTTATCAAATGGTTTAGACAGCCGGATCAAGATGCCTTTCATACATTGATAGGGATACAACTTTAGATAAAACATTCACTAAATGTAGTATGTCAATGTGAACTCATAAATGATTGTGTGTATCTTACACTTGCAGCACTTGATGTGGAAGGAATATTCAGAAGGTCTGCCAATGCTGCCAACTTGAAAGCAGTGCAGAAAAAATTTAATCATGGTAAGGCTTACAACATGTGTCTAAAGTTATAATAAAGCATTAATTCTTAATTAAGTACAACCCTCTGTAAAAATCAGGCAATTGGTGGATGAATTTGATGATTTCCCACACATAGATTTCTCTTGCCCTATGAACCATGTATGCAAAAGGAAAAAAAGTTTTGGGACATGGTTGCCATGGAAACTTGGCTAAATAAATTTTCCTAGCAACAAGCCAATTTTCCATGTGCAGGGACAAAAAAAAAATCTCTTATTTTTTAAGGCTGAAAATTGAATATTAATATTGTAAGAATTCTTTTTATTTCCTTTATCATAAAGATAAACATTCCAAGTGTTTTAACAATGCAATACATAGACATTAGATTTTAAGATATTTCTGTTATAAGCAGTGGAAGATATGCATGTTTTGCATTTTTTGCTGATTCAGCATTTTCGTTAATTTCAGCACTATTCAATGTCATATTTTTCAAACTTATGGCAAATAGAGTAGTTTCACATATTTCACATAAAAGCAGAGGAACATCTCTTGTAGATAAGTTCAAAAGCATGTGTTTTTTGATATTTCTAATCTGTTGCCTAGCAACAATAATGGATTGAGAGATAAATTGTAAATTGAGGAAATTACAAATCGGAGACAATTTTGACCTATGTGTTCAGAATTGTTGCAATGGGTTAATAAAGTACAAAAATCACAATTGTATAAGGCCTTAAAAAATTAATTAATAGTTTCTCAGGCCAAAAATTTCAAAATTCAATGCGGCAGGCAGGTTTTTTTTTTTTTTTTTAAAGCAGGTATCTTTTTTTCATGTCAGTCATTCAACAAAACAATGATATTAACTGATTCTCACTTTTTTGTTTTCTTAATATACTAATTATTAAGTACTCAACTTTAAATTATGTTATTCTGAACATTTCTTTAAAAGTTAATTAATAAAGGACAGTATAGACTAGAAGAATATTGTTTATCTAATAAAAACGTCTATCTATTATTGTTATGAAAAGGGAAATAACTCAATTTTCTTTTTCAACTTGGAAAAATAGAAAATTGAGTTATTTCCCTTTTCAAAATGTCAATAAAATTGATCAATGCTGCCATTTTTGACCTGATGCGGCTGTGCCTGAGAAACTATTTATTATTTTTTTGGCCTAACAAACATTAAATAATATCTTACAGCTATACATTATTTCCTGTGTTGCTATGGAGATTTTTCTGTTTGCTATAGAGATAAGTAATTGTAAAATATTCCTTGGCTTGTAAAGAAGTCTCAGATACATTTTCTTATTATATTTTATAAGATTTATAATTTTTGTATTTAAATTAGCCAAGTTTCCATGGCAACCATGACCCAAAACTTTTATCATTCTGCATATATGGTTCATATTGCTAGAGAAATGTGTGGAAAATCATTGAATTCTGAGAACCCTCATGATTCACTTCCATACTCATTTTGCCTGATTTTATACTTAAAAACACCTAAACAAAAATTCAAACAATGAGTAAAGATATTATAAAGTCCATTAATATATGGTAATAAATATGATGTAATTTATTGTATACTGTGGTAGGTGAGAAGGTGGACTTCTCAGTGGAGGGTGATGAACACATTCCAGCTGTAGCGCTAAAAATCTTCCTACGAGACCTTCAGGAACCCCTTCTAACCTTTGACCTATATCAACCAATCCTCAGGCTTCACAGTAAGAAAACATTTATTTCTTTCTTCACTGAGAAATAATTCCATGTTTTTTTTCTATGACTGATATTAAGCTGAGATAGGACTGGAAATGAAGGTGAGATATGACTACATATCAAACTGAGATATGACTGCATATCAAACTGAGATATGACTGCATATCAGTGAGACATATCAAGATTAGATACATGTAAGGCTTCATATCAGGCTGAGTTATGACTGAATATGAAACTGAGATATGACTTCATATCAAGCAGAGATATGACTTATGGCAAATGCAAGACTGAATTTGACATGATGTAGAATTCAAAAGTTTTCTAAAAAACTTCATGTATAGTCCAGAAGAACTGGATTTAAATTTTATTTTAGCTTTTTACTAATACGTATTTATTACAACAGTTAACATGTCATTATCTGCCTGTATTGTAAGATGGTTTTTAAATAATTTCATTTCAATTGACTAAGTTTTAAGGTTTTTAGATGTTATTAGATGATAATGAATCATGTGTTTAGTATTTCTTCTTACATTTGACAGCTGTTGAGGATGAGAGGAAGGTGTCTGAGATCAGAAGAATGCTGCATGAGGAGCTGCCAGAGGACAACTACCAGATCCTCAAAGTCATTATAAAGCTCCTCACTGAGGTAAGTCACATGACCTGTAAGGGGTCAATGAAAGGTCAAGAATGTTGTGTGAGTTTTAAAAATACATGTTAATCAGAAGTGGCATCCTATACAATACACCTTCTCTTTGATGCTGATGATTTCAATTTTCATAGACTAAAAATATAGTACATGTATATCACTAGCTTCATACTCACAGTGACCAGTGTATGATTGGACAGGGAATAAATATTCCATTATGGTTTTTGGGGAGGGTTGTTTTTGTTTGGTTGGTTTTTTTTAATTGTCTTGCTATTCTGTTTGCAGGTGGTTGACCATTCTGCCATGAACAAAATGAATTCATCCAATCTTGCCATTGTGTTTGGACCAAATCTGTTATGGCCAAAAGGACAAGCGTCGTTGTCCAGCATGGGGTACCTCAATAATTTTGCTCGACTTCTCATTGATAACTACAGTGAACTGTTTGACAGATAGCAGGTCATGACCTGTAGCTAGTACTCTGTTAAACTGGTTCCTGACCACACACTGACACAATACAATTATCTTCTGGTTACAATTTTTTGAAAACGATTTTGGAAACAAAATGTCTTTGTCAGTTTAAATATCAATAAAATTGATCCTTTCTAATGAGGACCACTCTCTAGGAGGCAGCTAGCTGTTTTAATCAGTTCTGTAATTGTTTCAAACATTTTTTTTATTCTTTGTTCTTAATTTGTATGTTTTATAATAAGGTGTCCTCATTAGGTTTATATCAGATAAGATAAAGCAATGTCTAGAGAAAATGGTCATTTATTTGAACTAGTCAAGGGAGGCGATCCAGAACAGTACATGTACATGTAGTTACTAAACAGTGCAAGTGGAGACATGAAATGAAATTCTCCTTTGAAGACAGTTCGAAATGTGTCCTACATTGACGTAAAACATATCTATTTAGAAATGATGTATTGAATGATATGTTACGGACACATATATATGATCCCTATTGTTATGTTTGATAAGTGTATATAAACAAGTGTAATTTATAACTAGGGTGTACTTGGACAGAGGTGCGTAGTATTTATAGTAGTTCTTCCAGAAGTAGGTCTAGGGATGGATAGAAAAAATCCACAACAAGTTGTATATGAATGAAATACTCCAGTCTGACAATTTTTATATAAAAGAATGAATGTTTAGTTTTCATGCACAGTCCTCTCTCAATAGATTAAAGTGCTCTTGATCAATGTAAAAGGTACATGTCCATGACATAGTCTCATGTTGTCTATGGTGGTCTGTAAATCTAAACTTTGAATTCTTCATTAACTCTGTACACTGGTCTGTTCATGATGTAATTGAAACATTCTGTCAAGTTTTTTTTTTAATAAATGAAAAAATGTTATCCTTGTTTTTATTGTTGATTTTATCTCTCCTGGTCAATGACGAGACTTATTTCAATAAAATTTAGAAACTTGGAACACCGATATACCACACCATGCTACAGAGTAAAAATTCAATAAAAATATTGCAGCAGTTAGAAAAAAAATAGATCGAATGGTGTGGTTAAAAAAAAATCAAATGCTACTCCTTGTTGCCATGGCTACCAACTCAAAAAAAATTCTATAAATTCTACTCTTTCGACAGTTTTAATTTGATTGCAACGAAACTTGCAACAAATTTTGTAAATATCAGGATACATAATTTTGTAAACATCAGGATACATAATTTTGTAAATATCAGGATACATAATTTTGTAAACATCAGGATACATAATTTTGTAAATATCAGGATACATAATTTTGTAAATTAAACAGGAACACAGAAATTACAGACGGTAAATCCTTGAACGATTAGGACTGGGTAGGAGTGTCCTACTTCATATTTATATGAATTCCTGATGTTAGTTTCCGTGTGTAAATACTGGATAACTAGCAACAAATTGTAATAAAGAAATAATCACAGTTAATGTAAGATATTAGCTCTCTTAAGCCTGAAGATAAAACTGAACACATATAAGAACATTGAAACTGAAGATGGTTTCTTTATATTGTTAGGTTGTCACCTAGTAAATCAGACCTTTAACTAATTATTATTATATACAAGTTCATTATTGACAATGACCGCTGAAATATTGCCGACTCGGTGTTAAGCAATAACCGCCCAAACATGACTGAAATACTGCCACTCGGCGTTAAACAATAACAATCAATAAACTGACAACAGTCCTTATTGACGATGCTTCCAGATTTTAACATGGCGTTGATACAGACAACAATATCAAATTCTCAGAGAAATTATTTTCAAATTATCAGGTTTGTTAGTCCTTAGAATGATAACAAGAGGTTTACATGTAGAGAGAGAGAAAAAATATACCTAAAATAGCTAAAAACAAATGTCAGAGCAAAAAGCAAAACGAAAAAAAAAAACAAAAACAAAACAAAAAAATGTAAATGAAGTTTCATTGAACTATGGAGTAAAGCAAAACTTTTCTTCGTATCACGATTTCCAAGATTAAAGGTGATTTTTTTTTCTTCAAGTACAAAGTATTATTTATTAAAAACTAATTTTTCCAGTACTTTATTCCATGTTCTTTGTTTAAATGTAGCAAGAAAAATCTTCTTTAAAAAAATATGAAAACATCCTCGTATGGCAAATCATGGCGAGGGTTAAAGTTTCTCAAATGCGTCAAACTCTAAGGTCAATAGATCAAACATATAAGTACTCAAAGAAAGGTCTTGTCACAAGGAATACACTTGTGAAATATGAAAGCCCTAGCATCAACCTTTCAATAGTTATATAGCAAATGTTAAAGTTTTTAAAAATTATGTCAAGCTCCAAGGTCAAGGTCAATGAGACAAAATTAATGGTGCCCAAGGGGAGGTCTTGTCACGAGGATTACATATAAATGTGAAATTATATATACGGAAACGCAAAAGAAACGCAACATCCTATTTTAGGGGGAAATATTATATATAGGATATAATTTTGTATCTAAAAAGTAAGGACATCTTCAACTTGGTAAATATCAGTAATTTAATGGTTGAATCATACCATAACCAGAAGTTAAATTTTAGTCCGCTTAACAGAAATCAAAAATTGCATGTTTAACAAAACATTTGGCAATAATATAGGGTTTTAAGGATTTGTATCTGTTTATCATAAGTAATGCTGCAATGTTCCGAAAAATAAATTCTCCTTTCTTTTCCGTAAGCGATGCCAATGCTTCCTAAAAAATGACTTAAGTACGGATTTCCATTGCTCTAGCTGGAAAATCTCTAAAAAAAAAAAAAAAAGGTGATGAAGAGTTGCAGATGAATATGCACCACTATGGAACGCCATAGCTGCCTGAAGGTCATTTTCATTTTATATGAGGTGGTATAACCTTTATGTGAAGTGGTTAAGTCATTATATATAGTGGTAAAATCATTATATTCAATGAAAACTTTATTACATGTATATGCAGTGGTTTTATCTTTATATACAGTGATAAAATCATTATATACAGTGATAAAATCATTATATTCATTAATAACTTTATTATATGCAGTGGTTTTATCATTATATTCAGTGGCAATGTCATTATATGTAGTGGTTAAATAATGTAATGAAGTGATAATATCGATATATTATGTTGTAAAATCATTATATGCAGTGGTTTTTCCATTATATACATTACTGAAATCTTTCTGTGATGTGATAAATTCAATATATACAGTACAAACATAATTTGTGTGATAAAGCAATCATTACATTGTATGAAACCCGCTGCATGTGGAGTGCCAAGTTAATTTCATTCAGTGCGACACCTTTACATGAAGTAAAAAATCTATTATGTGCAGTTCTAACATCATTATATTATATAGTAAAATTATTATATATATTCCTAAAATCATACTTTGCAGTGGTAACATCTTTATATGAGGTGGTTAATTAATTATATGATGTTGTTAATTTGTTATATGATGTGGTCAATTCTTTATATGCATTAGTCGTTTCATGTTATGCAGTGGTAACTTCTTTATCATCATCTAAACTGGTCCTCTTGCAAAAACATTTTTAAAAAATGCGCGGAGTTCCAGTTTAAAGAGTGTTTGAAAACAGGAAACCCGGGCCATGGCAAATTAAAAGCCGGGACTATTCGATTTTTCAAATTTCTGATTTAAAATTTTCAGACTCTTTTTTTAAGGCTAATTCGCTGTAAAAATTTTATTTAAATACTTGGTATTTTAGATTTTCTTGACGACTTTTGGTTTCAAGTAAAACTGGTAGGCAGTTTCAATTTTCTGATTTAATATTTTATCTATTGTGCTATAAGTACTTAGTATTTTAGATTTTTTATTTTTTTATTTTTTTATTTTTGGCGATTGTTGATTTCCATGTTGGTAAAATGGGTAGACTGGGTTGGCGATATTTTATGTGTGTGTGTGTGTGTGTGTGTGTGTGTTTTTTTTTTGTTTTTTTTTTTTTTGGACATATTTGATAAAAATCTAATAAACTTAAAAATTATTCCGATGTTAAACACTGTATTTTAACTAAAAAAAACTATTTATTTTTGATAGTTATTTCTTTATTTGAAAATGCTATTTTTATGCAAAATACACATTTTCATTAAAAAAAAGGATTATTAAACCAGATCCGATCATCCGGGAAGAACCTGGTGCAAAACACCATAAATCATTTCTAATTTCATAATATGCAAATGTGCACTGCATGGTACATGTATCTATATGCTAGTAGATGGAAGGAAACTGGATTACGTTAAATATGTCATTTATTTGATACTTTTCTCGGGGGGGGGGGGGGGATGTTAAATTACTAATATCAACTATTTATAAGACTGTTTCTAAGACTTCAGAAAACCTTAAATCACATTGAAATGCTTAAAATAAAAATTGCTGCATGAAAACATTTCATTTTCAAGTTTCATCTTTGCCGTCGCCAACGTGGCACGGTGATCAGAGTGTCTGCTCTAAGAGACGCGGAATAAGGAGTCAATCCTTACGTCACGGATTCGATTCCGACAGTGGGACGTTGAGACCGGTCCTTCGTAAGAGACCGCATAAAGCCATAAACCGAGGTCCCGTGCCACAGTAGGTGTTGGAACGAAAAAAATCCCTCACTGCTCAATGGCCGTAAGTGCCAAGTATAGGACAAAATTTGCAGCTCTCCACTGGCAAATTGTGGCGTCTCCATATGAGTGAAAAATTCTCGAGAGGGACGTTAAACAGCAAACAAACAACCAAATTAAAATCATTTTAGCCTTTTTGAATAAAATGATAAAATTAAGAGTTATCCTTCAAGGCTGAGGATCGGATATCCTTAAACCAAGCAACTTACGCGTGATTAAAGTTTGACACAAGGCTTTGCATTAATAGTCCTATAATTACATGTATATGTGATAATACTTTAATTAATTTATATTTTTTAGGAATGACTCTAATTCTTGGCCAAATTATTCGAGTATAACCTGGTTTGGGTCAGTTTACGCTTTATAATCCGCGAAGCGGATTATAAAACAGCGTAAACTGACCCAAACCAGGTTATACTCGAATAATTTGGCCAAGAATTAGAGTCATTCCTTATGATTTAATTTTAAAATCATTAAATAACTATGGGTGTATAATTTCGTTGCTTTTTCTTAGTTCAAATTTGCCGCTCAATAATACGACCGTAGTTACGGAAGTAACGGAAGTGATGGGAAGCAAGGGGAGGTAAAAACTGATACATAGGCCTAGCAGCCTTGTTGTTTGTTTACATGTGGTAAGATCGAATTATTGTTTGAAGTTAAAGGTACATTTATTAAATCTGGAATTTTCCATGAACTCCGAGGACTGGAAATGAGAGGATTGTATGGATACAGATGATTCAGCTGGTTGTCGGGGGGGGGGGGGGGTGTCCCCATACCAAACCAGGTTATACAAAAATAATTTGTGTTCCTTTTTGGATATTAACCAATCAGAGGCTAGAATACAAACAAAATTAAATTATTATCAAATGACATGAAGATAATGAACAAGTATTACGGATTTTTTATGTTTGACTTCCGGGAGATCAAATCCGATTTTAATGAACCATTGGCGTCGGAAGGAAATTGATAGTGGGGTGGCTAATTGAAATAGAAAAAAAAAATCAAACCTGAAAAAAAACTTGACAAGCAAAAAAAAAAAAAAGGAAAATTGTTCTTTCTCCAAACCCGAAAATCCTATTTCGGGGGTGTGGGTGGGTGGGTGGATGGGGGGGGGGGTCGAACATCTTTCAGTACCAAATTCTTTTAAACACTACCAATTACCCTTCTTTTACTACAATGAATCGTGCCTGTAGAAAGTGGGGAGGGGGGGGGGCTAGACCTACGCCCGAATTTTCAATGCCTATATTATGTCTACCTTTGTAAAAAAAAAAAAA